TGTGATAATAGATAAACTGATAGTAACTTAGTGTTGATTCTCAAAGCTTTCACAAATTATCATGATGTGACTGACATTCCTTAGCATGGATGCTTTATGGACCCTTTCTATAACACTGAGTAACAAACTGAATTCATTTTCTTTAAAGTTAGTAGGACTAGTAAAATTATTTAAAATGGAATTAGAAATTATTTTCTAACATATTATAAGTAAACACATTATTTCATATCAAAAGATAGAAAATGAAATGACATATATAAAATACGCATTGATGACAATAAACAGTCATTTAAAATGGAGCTACATGACATCTGTGAGCACCTCTCTAGGGGTAAAGATTCCCTTCGTAATTCCTCAAAGTTTCCCTTTCCAATCTGTGTAAAACACTGAGAAATGCAATCTTATACCTATTGTATTTTTAAAGATTTACTTTAGAAAAAGTTACATTTTTTAAACTTCTCTCTTTTAGTAAAAAAACAAACAAACCCAGCAAGTATCCTTTCAGGTTTTTTTGTTTTGTTTTGTTTTGTTTTTCTTGCGTATAGTACACATTCATGAATGTCCACTAGGCGCAAGGGTAATTGTTCATATCGCAGAATGTACTCTATATGGCAAATGGTTTCCAACAAGTGAGCTAAGAAGAAAACAAATGCAAGAAGACTTGTTTTAATCGCTAAATACTGCAGGTTTTTTTTTTTTTTTTAAAACAATGTTTGTAAACTTGCCCACAAAAGCGGGGTAATATTAAACAGCCAGTAAGGCACTTCATCAGAGAGGACTAAATAGTAAAGGCTGGATGATTGGTGATTTAATAGGAAACATTCTATATGTAACATAGCAAAATCTGTAGAGGGGTGGTTTTTTTTTTTTTTTTTTTTTTTTTAACCAGATTTGTAGCCTTGGGCAAGTCTCTTTGTTTCCCCCCCTGGATCAGAAATCCTTTTTCTTATCGGAAGCTGGAGTTTTTCGTTTTATTTTTTTATTATGCTTTAAATGAAGGTTACAGAGCAAATTAGTTTCTCATTAAACAATTAATAAACATATTG